GTTAAGATGGACAGTTTTATATGAAAAATCCTAAAAAGAAAAACAAAAAGAATTGATATTAAAAAGATTAGAGGAAAAAAAAAGAAAAAAAACTTACCATTTCAAAGATCTTTCGCTGATGAGTTGAACATAATCTATTATTGCTTCATCAATAAGTTAAGGTAAAGGTTCTATTAAATCATAAAACCTATTTACCAAATCTGATTGAAATGAAATTCATAAGTATCCATACTATCACTAGTAGTCATCATTTGACACCCTAATCATCTTTCGCGAATGAGTTTAACATAATCTATTGTTATTAACACAATCATATTATAGTTGATTCATAAGGCAAACTCACCATCAGAACTACACGGTATTCAGTTATCAATTTTTGATTTTCTCAGCAACAGAGTCATAGACACGAGATTGGATTGTCAGCGATATTGTTTGTCATATCAGTCAAGGTCATTCAGGTCATCGGTAATACGTTTCAAGGTCATCTGAAGGTGCTACAGTTATTCTTCTATGAGCTTTGCAATGCACGTTATGATAAATTTATTGCATAGAAGATTTTCAGCAGTTATTCAATTAAACTGTAATATCTCCAGATCTGTGATAGCAAGGATCTCTAAACTCATTTTTCAGTGTTAAAATTGTGAAGAATAACTGTAGCACCTACAGATGACCTTGAAACGTGTTATTTTGTCGATGACCTGAATGACCTTGATCTTTTGATATGACAAACAAGTATCGCTGAAACTCATACCAATCAAGTCTCGTGTCTCTATGACTCTTAGTTGCTGAGAAAATCGCAAAAAAAAATCGGTAAAAAAAGCTGAATTTCCCTGTAGTTTCAGTGGTTAATGGAGCTGTGATCCGTTGTTCCAAAAGTGTTTGTCTTGCCGCTCGCAGTTCATTCAATCAATTTTCTGCCTCTCTGATCTCGTCATCCTCGTCTACATTTTGTTGGTGAGCTTCCGGTCGGGTCGTTTGTGTTGATTCGTCCTGTTGATTAATGTCTATTACAGAAAAAAATGTTCATAATTAATGTTTATAATCATATTGATGTTCTATTGTAAAAGAAAAAAATTGTCAAGTCCGTGGTTTTGAATCCAAGTCATTTCATACGCAAGTCTTACATCTAGCTAATGCGCCACAAGCAAGTTTTCATTTTTTTTTGAAAAATAAACGCGTTTTGTTCATCTTGGTTTAAGAAAATGCTGATTCATGGGTTTTTTTACAATACGTGAGGGTCGCCTCAAGCAATGCAAACCCTCAATTTGAATCGATATATAAAAGACAAATATACTTATTGAAATTTTATATGAAAAAATCACTTACGGGAATTATTAGATTCGTTTGTAGTTGTGGCTGTATCGGTATTGCTCAAATTGTGGTCAAATACCATTCCTATAGGATAGAATGAATTATGGATCATTTTATTTTGCTGATAATTAGACAATTGTAATATACATACCCAGCATGAATAAGTAAAGGATGGGGAATCTTATCAATAACATTTTTATTCGGTTCGGTTTGGCAAAAATTGTTCGAAAAACAACAAAAATACTTAGAAAATTACTTGAGAAAACTTCAAATGAAATCTAATGTTAAATGTAAACAAAAAATATCGGACCTGTGAAATTCAGATCTCGGATTCGTTTTTTCACCGATTCCGGGAAATTTGAGTTTTTGTTGAAATATTTCATTCAGGGGTAAAATCTTTTATTTTCTCTTTTTTTCCCCCACTTCCACTTCTGAGCCACTCAGAAGCGGAGGTTTTATAACTACTACTATATTTGGATCATAATCATTAATTACTAATCAACTTGAATCTTTATTACTAACCGACAAAGATGAAAAAACCTTCGACTCACGAGACACTCGTGACACTCGATGATCCTGTATAAAACCAGATCACTTACTAATAGAATGTTCACTTCTTTTAGAATCATCACAACATTCAAGTAAAAACATTCTAATAGATTTCATCTTGTCATCATCCCTTTAATTAAGTCTACCCATTCCAATAATCTGTGTAATTCATTACAATCATTTAAACAACCATTGGATAATAAAAATTCAATTATATTAGTTAAAGTTCTTCTCATTGTGTTCTCACTTTATTTAATTCATTTATCACTCATCAAGTAACTTTTACGTTACATAATTGATAAGAGAAAGTATAGCAGAGACCAATACTGTTAGTCGAACTTCAGATATAATTATAATTGTAATTTTATTCATGTTGATGCTACACTTGTTATCACAAGAGTAAGATTTTCTTCAAAGTGGAAACGTGAACTAACTTGTTTTTTAAAAAAGTGTGTTAAACTGTGTAATTTAACTACTACTTGTGCTCGTTGTTTCCCCTTGTTCGTGCCACGTCCATCTGAATAAAGAATAACTCAGCTGTAAAAGTTGAAAAAGTTGATTAATCTGCTGCCTAACAAGTTGGAAAATTTCGCTGCCATGAAAAATAAGCGTCAATCTTTCAAAATATTTTTAATAATAGTTTCTATTTTTATGTGGAAGCTAAGTGACAATTACAGTCTTGCATTCTCTTTTATGTGTCGTCTATCTCTTCCCATCTCTGTCCATCAATTGCTTTCTTATTTGCTTAGATTCTTCTTTTTGAAAATCCGTTGAGATTATAATCATTAAAAGTTTTGAAGTTAAAACAGGAATAAGTAGTAGGTATGTAGCACAGTGTGATAGAGAAGGGAGTCTGTGAGTGAAAAGGAGAGTTTTATGTTATGTTTATGACTTGGAAGAGTTGGTGAAGGTTAAGAAAATAGGTAAGCTCACTTACACTTGATTGTCTCAATTGTCAGTCGATTTTGAACCAGCAATGATCCTGACTATGTCACCATCATCAATGTAGGGTAAAAAAACTGTCAACTTCAGTGTTTCAGCCACCAGTGTTCCCAACACAGCCAGTTATCCCACCGTTGGCCTGATAGACCTCACGGGCTGCGATCAACTTATCGGCCTCGAGGACGATCAAATTTTTTCTCTTTTCATCCCTGACCCGGAGCTCACTGTTGAATTCTACTCCAATGAGTTTGAAAACAACAGTGTATTCAGTTCTAGCCATGAGTTGACATACATACTCATAATCGGACTCAAAGACGAAACGAGAAGATGAAACTCTATTTAAAAAAATTTGGTCTGGTGACAACGATGATTTTTGGCTCATCGATTAAACTAATTCAAATTAAAATTTGATTTTTATTAATTATTTCAGGGTAACAGAATTTGACTCCTCCTCTTTCACTTCATGCTACATACCTACTACTAGAATACCCAATTCGTTACTTCAACTAATTTGATCTATAATATAGAGCTATTCAGAACGAAATGCATCAAATGACCTTGAAGCGTTTTTTTCACCCATGATCTAAATGACTTCATTTTTAATATGACAATTGAGTATCGCTGAAGTGTCGAGTCTCTGGAACTCATAGTTGCTGAGAAGATCGCAAAAACTTCGGCGTAAATAGCTGAATAGACCTACAGAAAAGTTGAAGTATTCCTGCCAAGTTGAATAATCAAGAACTCTTCAGCTATTACCTATTACTACTATTACTATTACCTATGTCATTTTCTTAGCAAAATTTTCTTAAACTAATCATGGACTGATATGTTAGAAAAGGATTGAAACAAGAACTTGGAGTCGAGAAAGTTACTGAAGTTAAGAAGCCCATAAGATATTTATCGACAAATTTGAATCAGAATACAGTGAAATCTTTGATCCCAATGAACTTTGACCAGAGTTAACTTTTTGATTTTTATTCCTCGACGAAGAAATAAAAGTTAAACTAAGATCCAATTGAAACTTAATGATGATAAAGGTTTTTCCTTTTCAATGATTGATGATCTTTTAGAGTCAAGTCAATCGAAGCTTAAGATTAAACAGAAAAACATCAGAATTTATGGAAAAAAATGAGAGAAAAGAATTAATATTTTTTTCTTCTCTTATCATTACTTTTCCATATCTCGATCTCTTCTGGTTAGTATAATGATAATAATAATAATATCATTACCATCGATATCAATAATGTTTATTCTGTCTGGAAATTACTGTTCAACGACAGTTCTGTCAACTCGTTGTACAGTGTTTATCGATTACATGGTAAAGAGAAAACAAAAATCTGTTCAATGATTACCATTAAAACCAATCCTCAACGAACAGGGCATCATGATTGGTATGATTATTTACCTTATCAAATATTTATCCCTAATATTATCAGAATGTCTTTCATGTTGTTCAGCGTATTATTAATAATATTCACAATTCTTATCCATGTGCAGAATTTATATAACTGTATATAGAATTCATAAGAATTCTGATAAATTCTTTTTTCTTATCCCTAGAAAAGTTCTATCCTCCTTTTTATCACGACTTTCATGATAACTCGGAATTTTTACTTCTCTTATTTTTTTCACCTTTTCGTTTTGAACAATTTGTTTTCTCTCCTCTTTTTGTGTTTGCCCGTAACTTTCTTGAGAAAGATATTTTCATGGTTAACTTTCATGATAGAAAAGAGGAGAAAAGAAAAAATTTAATAAACTTAATGGATACTCTTTTCTTTTTACTCTCCATCATGTCTCCTCCTATTCTAACCTTCATCAACATAACATCTAATATCTTTGACCTTAACTATTATCATACCTGATCAGGTAAATATTCACTTTCAAAAGAATTTATCCCTCCCTAATAATAATAGATTGTTAATCAACTTTGATGGAGATTTACAAGATGAAACTCAATTTCAAAAGAATATAAAATTAGCTTGAAGAATTACGAATATTCTAATTTGTTATAATTCCAAAGAGTTTCGATAGATTTTCTATCGTAAATGGGCTGAAAGTGAATGATATTTTGTTCATCGTATTTTGATGAATAACATTTACAATGTTCTAAAAGGTTGACCTTTAGTTAGGAGAGAAAGGTTAAATTGTGTTAACTTGCTAATTATCATAATCCTAATCGTTTACTAATCTTATTCCAGGTGAAACATTGACAATTCCCTCTGTTAGTAAGGATTCAGTGGGAAAATATTATTGTAGCGTACGTAATACCATTGATTCTAGTAGATCCAATTCTGTCCATTTAAATATTTTATGTAAGTATTTATCTTTATTATTATCAAGTCGGATTAACTGATTATTCAATCAAACGATGAAATATTAATTGTATACGTCATCATACACAATATCAATTGGAAACTTTTTCAGATGCACCACAATGTAACAGTAAGAAAATAATTTATGCCTTTCGATCAAATATATCAATTGATATAAAATGCGAAATGGATGCTAATCCACGAGAAGTGACCTTTACTTGGATCGATCGTTCAAGCAATCAAATACCGTCCAATTATTATAATATCACATCGAATGGCCTTACAAGTTATCTAACATTCAATTCAACTTTTAATACAGATAAAGTTTTTATCTGTTCTGCTGAGAATTCAATTGGAAAATCAAAAGATGTCTGTGTATTTACACTAACCCCTGCAGGTATGGAGAGAGAGAGAGAGAGAGAGAGAGAGAGAGAGAGAGACAAGAAAAAGAATAAAGAAAAAAGTTCTGATCGAATAATAAATTTATCTTTGATTATTCATTTAAGCTCCACCCGATCGTCCTGATCATTGTAAGACCACTTCACTGCCCAATTTGGTAACAAAACTTAGATGTAAACCAGGTAAAGACAATGGAGTGGATCAGAATTTTATTGTAATAATCCATCCAGGAGATAATCTTTCTGTAAATATTGGTGATAAAATTGCCAATGCTAATCCTGATTTTGATCTGAAAGATTTACAACCCAATCGTAGCTATTATGCTGAAATTTATTCTGAGAATGAACTTGGCCGGAGTGAATCGTTGATAATATTATTCGTCACAAATTCATCAGGTAACTATTATTAGAACACTTTGAATAATATTATCTTGATTAAGAAAATTTTGATAGTATTTTATATATAATAATAATAATATCCAATTCATTTGAAATATGGTAAAATTTAAATTCTTATTTTGATTTGCAAAATTTTCCATTGTAATAATTGATTCATCTTCCTTTTATGTTATATGAAGTTGATGCTCTTTTTTACTCAATCTTTTCCACTATTAAAGTTAAACTCATCCAATATCATGAACATTTTCAACATGATCATGATAACAATTCATCATAGTTTCCATCACCTCCCTAAGAATCAACTCCCTTCTGAAAAGTATGATGAACATTTTAATATTGTGATAAGATGAATTTGAATCAGTTGATCCATAAAATGAGTAAAATTATCATTGAGCTCAAATGTGAAAATGTGAGTAAAGTAACAGTAAAAGTTTCGAAAGGAAATTTTCGAGGAGAAAAAAAATTCTCTCAGGAAATAAGATTGATACTTATCACTAGACAATTTAATTTCCATGAAAAATGAATCTAATTTCATCACCAAGATAAGTTCATATTGTTGGTTATTTCTCATCAAATTATCTCTCTCTCTCTCTCTCTCGTGATTATCGTTTAACTTGATTGATAATAGAATGCTGTTGATTTGATTAATTCCCACCAAGTAATTTATCTAATTGATTAATCTCACCTTTTTCTCTTCTCCTTTTTTTGTCTCTCCTTCTTATTCACACAGAACTAACTTCCATAATCTCTGATAATTCAGTTGATTTAAGCTTGATGTCAATGATTGTCTATCCAGCAGCAATTGTCTTGACGATTGTAATTCTGTTAACATTTTTCATCACCAGAATTCATGGGAAAACTGCAAGTTATAAACCGTAAGTTGTGATTTCATTTAGAGTTAATCTCCATCTGAGATTCCTTTGCTTTGCTCAGCATCATTCTGTTGGCAATTTACCTTAAATCATTATTTAGATTCAGTGAAAATCGTTAAGGTTAATATTACATTGATATTGATTGAAATAATAGCAATGAAACTATCAAATCTTATCCATTCAAGAGTAATTAATAGTGATTAAGATGCGCTTAACACTTTGCACAGACAATGATTAAGTGATTAAGATGATCATTATCATGCATGATACTTAGACTCAATGTATCACCAACAATTGATTAGAATGAATGAGAAAATTAAGGAAGGAGAGAAAAAAATTCATCGAAATTGAAAAAATAAAATACACAATCTTTACCTAGAAAATAAGAAAGAAACAAAACTATTCCATAAACCTATGGATATTGTTCAGAAATTCATGATTCATGGAGTCTTTAAATACACTTTCATCAATAGAACCCATAGAAAAGGAACAAATATTTCGAGTATTGCTCGAATTTGGGTCTCTATTACAATAATATATTATTTCTTGTCAACGATGTTTGTTGTTTTCTGTTTTCGCCATGTTGTTATTCATGATAATTCAGCTCTATTATTGATCTTTCATGTTTGATGTTTGATTTCGTATCAATTTTTTGGTTAACTTACTCACTCCCATTCTGTTTAACCTAAGACATTAATATATCTTATTTTTTTGGTATCAATCGATTTTTTTGTCTTCCAACTTATCATTCAGTTCATTATCATTGAATCAAGTTCCGATTAGTTGATTTCATGAATCAGTTGAATCATTCAGTCAGATTATTAGAATCATTATTGGTTGAGTATCTATTTCTCTCTCTCTCTTCAGTGAAATTGAACCAGTTAATTTAATCTATCCACTGTGGGTGATTATTCAGACCATCATTAGTTTTTTTGTTCATTCATCTTCAGTATTTCCATCAATTTTACCAGACTGAACGAGAATGCCAGCAAATCAACTCAATCATTAGTCTTTTGATTATGGTTAACAATCAAAATGAAAACCATCATAATAATCATGATGGTGTTCAAAGCAGATTCTTAACAGAATTGATTTTCATGGTTAAATATTAATATAAACATGGCTAAAAATTGATCTTGAAATATCATGAAAATCTTACGGAGGATCCAATTAGAAATTGGCCATTACTGTACCTGAAACAAAAATCTTTTTGTTGAGAAATCAGAATATTTTTACTTTTTCGTGCAGCCAAAGTTGAGATGAGTCAATTTCTAGCTGTTTGTAACATATTTTCCAAAGACAATATTGACGATGATAATATTATCCATAATGTTGAACTAAGATTCATTTCATGGATTGACCTTTCGAGGACAATTGTCAGCTTCATGGTGTTGTAGGGTAGAGATTTAACCCTTCACTTCACTTATTAATTTTATTCATTTAAATTTAACTTTAGTTAATTAATCATTTTCATTTAATCAACAATTAACTAATTACAATTAACAAACATTACAACTTTAATTAACAATTAAACTTAACTAATCATTTTCTTTAGAAAAACAAATTAACAGTTAATGATGGAGAGACAATAGTCTTGTCAATTCTTATGAAAATAACCTTCTGGTTTTAATCATTGGCGTCAATTTGCTTTTCTCTTTTTCTTACTTACTTTTCTACAAATATTTTCTCTTTCTTCTTATCTTCTTTAACTTTTGTTAACTCTGATTACATTACCATTTTTCCCACAGTAAGATTTTGTTTTAACAACAATTAGTCAACAATGATTATGTTAAAAACTTAAGTTAACTCATCTTTGATCTCTGACTTAATTGTCTGTTATCAATTAACAAGATTTACCAACGGATAAAAAATATTCAATTGAATGGATTAAGTATAAATACAAATCTAATCAACAAATGTATCTTCAGTCTAGTTAACACTTTCAATCTAGATTCGTTTTCTCACTTAAGTGAATTTTATTCTGTGTTCTTATTAGAATTTCATTCTAATCATTGATATTTTCATTTTCTTTCTATTTTAATAAAGTCTTATTTAACCAAGTTTACATCTTAAGATAATTGAAGTGAATTCTGTATACGAACTATTATTACTTGTAAGTGTGAAGGGCAGGTAAGCATCTTGTGAAAGGTCAGTGTAACCGTTGTTACTATCTAACTTAAAATTACCATTAAGTTATTCTTATCTGGTTTTTGTCTCTATTGATATTGTTTATCATCTCTAAAGAGGCCAGAATTAAAGTAAATTGATACTTTCAACAATTGTGACTCTGTTTTAATTGCTGGATGAAAACCTTAAGGTGACATTATCAAAGTAATGTGACTTTTGCCTTAACTTTACTTTTTCCTTGGCAAAATCCTTCACTTGGCGACCGGCAGGATTCACTCAGTTGTTTAAAGTGAAAAGTGGTCTTTATAAGACAAGTTAACTAATTCAACCATTTTACCTGATGGTAAGAACAAGAAATCGCGAGTACAATTCTCCTCCGATTATAACCCGTCAACATCTGAATAGAATCCCAATTCCTATTCGGTCTACATCCAACGTCAACAGTGATACAGTTATCTCTCAAGAGACTCCTGGTACTTCTGAATTATCTTTACCGTTGGTAATTAATTCCAACATGACAACAATTTCCTCGTTAGATAATCAAGGACTCAGAGAGTTACTGAACAATTTTATTAATGATATTCCAACAACGCTATACTTAAGCGAAGAGTTTATGAAATCATTAGAACCAATTATTTGTTACTCGGTGAACAATTAACCAATGAGGAAATTGATAATCTTACTGTTGAAGAGGTTCAAGAAACAGTTCCTCCACTTTGGTTAACTAATCTCCGTAATGCAAAAATCTTGGAATCTGAATTACAACTAATTCTAGTTCGTATTGGACGTGATGAGGAAACAATTTTTAACGTTCCTGAAGAAGAATTAAGGTCGTGTAATCTACCTTATGGTACAATCAATAAGTTACTTCAACTTTCTGCTGATTGGGTTAATCAAACTCATTCTGTCTCAAGACCTGGTTCTCCTACTCATTCACTGGCTCAATCTCATGATAACATGGAAAATTTAACTCAAGTTCAAGGTAATGTTCAAGTTACTGATAAATTTGAAACTCTTGTTAAAACTTTAGTTGCCTCAAATCGTAAAGACCCTAAGGTAACTGAGTTTTACAAAGGTGAAGATATGGGTTCATGGATAAGAAAAACTGTGAATAAGTTATCATTAGAAGAATGTGATAACTCAACTCGTCTTCGATGTTTCAAAAAAGGTTTAGCTCATGAATTGTTACATTTAGCAAATCGTGTTGACCTTCGATCACTGATTACCATGATTATGTTAACGCTCTCAAAGAAAAGTTGAGTATGCCAACATTTACTGCTAAAGCCGCTTACCAATTGAGAAATTACATTTACGATTTTTCTGAACCTCCACAAATGTTTATCGATAAACTTCGAGATTTAATGGAGAAAGTTAAAGATACTGTAACAGATAAAGGTTTTCTTCGATTTGCTTTCACATTTACCTGAAAATATTCAAAATGAAATTTATCGATCTGGTCATAATAATGATGAACAGAAAATTATTAATGTCTCTACCGACATTATTACGAGAAAGAAGATCAAAGAAAAGTAAAATCGATAAACAAGTAACAAAAGCTCATCCACCTCGACATCAATCTAGAGATAAAACTAATCATCCTAAAGGTAATTTCCAAAAACCTTACATTCGTCCATTTCCTAATCCTGCTCATAAAGGATTAACCTGTCATATTTGCAACCAACTTGATCATGTTGCTCCTGATTGTCCTGAAAGACGAAAGCGAGATGACTCTCGGCAAAAAGCTAAAACAACAATCAATACCCAGAAAAATTCGCAAACAATTAATAGTCTTTGTGAACCTTCAATCGAATATCTCGACACCATCAACTACTGCTCCGCTTCAGTTATGAAACATGAAATTTCATATACTCTAAGTGATCATCAACAGCCACCAATAATTACCAACAAGGTGATCCTTTATTTGAATGTATGTCACTTTGTACTTTGACAATAGAAACTCCAATCAAGGAACCAGTTATGAAAACTCGTGTTTTGGTTGACACCGGGCGACTTCATCGGTAATTGATTATCAATTGGCAATTCAATGTAACGTAAATATTGTTCGAAATAATATTCCAATTTTCGGAATTTCTGGAACTAAGGATTCTGTTGGATTCGCATGCAGCAATTTTCATCCAGAAATTCAGGGTACTCGTTTACTCAAAGTAACTGTCGTTAAAGAGTTTGATCCGATTTTCTTACTTGGTAACAATTTCATTCAACTTTTTTATATTCAAGTTAACTCTGATGGAAGTTATACTAAAGTATTCGCCAGAGAAACACCTAATGGTAAACTCCTCAATCCTGAATTTAAGTTTCGCTTTCTTACTATTAAAGAAACCGATTCATTATTCAATAAGTTCAAATGTTCAGAAAACGATTACACAATTGACAACTTCTCTCATCATCTTCCGATTCATGCTAATCTTCTTGGTTTAACTGAACCAAATACTTTCAAAAATGAACACGATTTAACCTTAGAAACCAAATTCTCATCAAAGGTTAACTTATTGTCACAATCTGAAACCAGAATTTCATCAAATGAAGATAAAAGTTTTGTTGAAAAGCTAAAACAGCAAATTAATCCTAATTTATCTCAAGATAAAAGCGACGATCTCGTTCGATTGTTTCTTAAATATGAGAAAGTTTTTAGCAAAGACAAAAAAGATCTTGGTTTCGTTGATAATGATATTTGTCCAGTGGAGATCGATATCGGTGATAACGTTATTCCTTATCAAAAACCTTATCCATGTAATAATGAGCGACGATTAGCTTATAAGCGAACCATTGATGATCTTTTGGCCGCTGATATAATAGAAGAATCCAATGCTGAAGGTGGATCACCTGCTCTTCTTGTGCCTCGACCTAATGGAACA